TTGCTTAGGAAAAAAAATCGATCCAAACCTCACAACTGCTTTCCTTGCCACTTAGGAAAGCAAGCAAAGAACATCTGGATCATGCTTTCGCTTCAACCGTCCACACACAGGTCAGCCACAAACAGTAGCTTCCTTCTTACAGAGTCCCATTAATTCTTTACCTGGAAACTGGCTGTCCGCTCTCACTTGGCTTCCCTTGCCACCTCGAGTTTCCATTTCCAATGCTTAGAAGTTTTGTTTGTGAGGGTCCAAATGTGGCAGAAACTATTTACAGGCTTCTAAGCTTCACCAGCTGGGGAGGCCAGGGATGTTGGCTCAACAACTGACCAACCTTTCCAGGGAGAGATCTGAAGCACAGAATTTGAAAAAACACCTTCCAATCTGTCAAGAACATGGAAAAAGTTGCTGTCTCTTCTAATGCTGGCAGAGGCCCCAAAACACAGCATCACAGCATCTGGTTAACCAACCACCAAAACTTCAAAACACAGAGATCAGACTCTACTGTTTTTCTTTAGGAACAGAGAGCAGCAGTCAAGAGTAGGACCACAGGGCTCTAGGAAAAATAAGAAGTTATTGGGCTTTAGGGACTGTCTTTGCACCACAGATTCATACCATATGGACTTAAACTAGAATCAACTGTTCAAGGAGCCAAAAGAAATCATGATACCAAGAGATGGTGTGTGACAATCTCTTACAGTGAAAATAACTGAGTGCTTAGCAGAAACTCTGGGAGGAGGGAAGTTTTTCTGAAACATAGACATGAAACCACTGTTTTGATAGTCCCTGCATTACCTACCTGAGGGAGATGGTAAATTTCCCTTTCAAAAATTACTTCTCTTTGGTTATATAATCCAGAGCATGGAAACTTGCTTTAATTCCATAAAATTAAGAACTGAGACTCACGTGCACTGTTTATAAGGCTTTTCATTCGTCTGCTCTGGCCTTTTCATGGCTTTTCTCTAGTCATCCCATTTCCACTTTGGAAACCATTCCCAAGATTTCTAACAAGTCCTGAAATTACACTTCTCGTTTGGTTGTCCTAACCGCATAGTCCCGACCCCCAAGCCTGTGCTGTCCAGAGGCAATGCCCAACAGCTCTCAGATAGAGTTGTCAGCATGCCAAGCACATGTTCCTTCTGCAGCTTGACACAGTCAATATGACAATCATCGACAGCTGCTTTTGTGTCCTTATGTCCGTCCCACGTGGGCCCCTTCACCAGGTAGTCCTACATAGCTACATTCTGCTGCAGCTACTCTAAGCGGTGCTCAATTCAGTGGAGAACAATTCATAATGGACATTCGATAGACTTGATACTAATATTCTGGAATCCAATGAAACTGGCATTAGCATTAACAGCTGGTTTCAAATTAACTGATTGAAGTTTTTATGCCCAAACCAGCAAAATATGTGACATGAACAAAAGACTCAAGACAGGAACTAAACATGCTAGGAGAAATATAGCCTGCTGTCCATCATTGAAGAGAAAAGCCTCTAAAATAAGCTGTTTCACAAATTATGAAGAAATTGTCCGACTTTTTCAAGAAATTAGTTGATAAAGTAGCCTATTAAAATAATTTCCATTTTTAAATAGCAGTAAACTAGTATTCAATCTAAATCATCATGAAATACAACCTGATTTCAGGATGGCCTGATAACTTCAGGAGGCCACATAGCCTAATGGTTAAGAATGTGACCTCTGCAGCCCAACTGCCTTGGTCTGAATCCTGGCTCACCTATTTACTTTCCATGTGACCAATTTTGTTTGGATCCCGGTTTCCTTGTTCATATTAAATGGAGATGATGGCATTACATTTAATTGAACATGGAACCCACATTTTAACATCTCTGAAATCTTTAAGTCTTAAAACAGCTTTTGGCCAAGACACAGTCACAACGTAGTTGTCATTGCTTGTGCATATGTGGACTTGGTGGTTGTTTTTGGAGGCACAAATGGACAAAGGCAACCTTTCGATATTTCGGTCCACGAATCATTGACTGCAGAAACCGTTTTGTTAACACCTTCTGATGAAGAAAACACCAGCACCAGAACTTGCAGAACTCTGAGGAAAATCCTAGAAATGGCGGCAGAACACTTCACTAAGTTTCGCTGTATCACGAGGTCTGAGTCATGAACGTCAGAATGAATGTAGTTTTAAGAATGCCTTACTCAGTTAATTTCACTTATGTTTTTCTTTTGTATAAACACAGAATGATATAAAGATTTGTCTCAATACTATATTACATCAATTCTACTTTTTTTTCTTATTTTAACACAAGTCAGTATGTGTCACACAATTAAGACATGTTCTTAGTGGTATACAAAATGGTATGTCTTAAAATTGGTGGAGTCTTAAATTTGTTGAAATGACAAAAAGAGCTTTTTATATAAATATAAACATTTTAAGCTGACTTTTTAGAAAGTATTATGTCATAATCGGCAGCATTTTTTCTTAATGTTGCATAAAATGGCACATTTTATATTTAATGTCATTTTCTATTTAATGAAACACAGCAGTGCTTACTTCACAGGATTGTGAGGATTCAATGATTAACAGTTGTAATGTGCTTAGAACGGTTCCTAGCTTATGCTAAGTTCTCAGTTTTTAGCTATTAATATCCTATTGGCCAGGGGCTTTGCTACAGATTGAGAGAACAATCTGTAACAAAGTCTTAAAATTTTTTTCAACATTGAGAACTTCCCCTATTCCTCTTACCTCATTTCAATACCCAATCTTTATTAAGAACTTACTTTATGCCAGAAACTATGCTTGATGCTGTGATGATGCAAGTATCAACCACAGATTTGACCTTCAAGATCAGCTAAATACTAAGAATATATATAACAATTATATAGACAGGAAGAAAGATAATGCCAGGTACAGAGAGGAATCAAGAGAAGGAAAATATCCAAGCTCCATTATTTATCATTGAACAGTTTGACCTAAGAATAAGCTTTAACCATCTCTATGTGCCTTGGTTTTCTCATCTGTAAAATGGGTTTATAGTAAACCCCATGGATAAAGCTGTCTGCAGTAACATGAATTGGTTCCATTCTCCACCTAGCCCCTCTTCACAAATGCACGTGGACTCAAATTCTTAACTCTTGGTGAAAGTGAAGAATATAAAAGGGACAGTGAAGCCAGTTGAGGAAATGGTAGGCTACATCAGAAAGTGGGGAGGGAGAGGATGGGTTAATCTCAGGTAAGGTTAATGAAATGGGCATCAACTACCTAGGAGACTCCTAGACTCACTCTGTTATCTTAGAAGTACAAGTCAGACACAGGACTAACTCAGAATGTCCTCATTGATATTTTAACCTGAGTGGATATTTGCCAACATGTGGTGCCAAACCACAGGATGGATTTGGGACCTATAGTTAGATACTAGGAATTGCTGGATAGCTAGTTGCGCAGGCTCACCCTGGTCACCCACTTCATGTTGCTGAATTTCTTGCACTTACTGTAGGACTTCACTGCTGCATCTATGTCACTGGATTGTTGCGAGAAATCTTAAATGAGCTGATGTACTTAAAGTGCTTGGAATAAATAGTGCATGGTATTTAGTAAGCTATTAATACATGTTATTAGCATGAAAGTAAAAACATTTAACCACCAGACTGGCATTAGCATCAGCCAATCGGGAGTCACATACAGACATGCATGACTTCTACATGGGAGGATCACAGCAATTACCACCCAAGCTGTCTCTTAAAAGATACTTAGAATATGCTCATATGGAGATAATGAAAGAGGAGAAAAGCACTTCAGGGGAAAAAGTCTGATGCAAATCATGAAAAATAAAAGAAAAAAAGAAAGAATACTGGAAAATAAGGTTAAGGCCACGGCATTGAGGCAAAAGGCTTTGGTACTTTATTCAGCAAGAAAATAAAACTGGTAATAGCTGTTATGTGGTAGCTCATCAAAGTCTAAAGGACGCATTTGGTCATGAAGTTCAAAATGAATGCAGTCCACCACACTCCAACAGGGAAATTTTTACATTATAGTTCATTTTAAAGAGCATAGGCACACATACTCTAGATAGCTTCCACTGACCAAAGCTGAAAGAAAATACTTTGTAATGAAGTACAGATTTCTAAAGGTTTATTTAAGGGCCTATTTTTACTTAAGTCATCTTTTATTTTTCTGAAGCATGTTCCCCTGGTATGATTCTAATTTCAAAATCAATATTTCTTTAATGTTGATGAAACTATAAGTTTCCAAATCCATGATGAAAACAGACTGGTGCTATGTGCATCTGATCAAACTAGCAGCAACATAATGTCAAACACAAATGGAAAGCATTTTTTTAAAAGCCCATAATGGCAACTCAAAAGCAGTAATGACATCAAGTAGAAATTAAAATCTCTAGTTAAAGCCAATGAGGGTTTGTAGGTTAATTTTGAATTTTACTCCTTGCTACTCAAATTCAAACAGGGTACAGTGGACATGTTACTTTTGTATTCTCACCAAACACCTTTCCTCTCCTAGTCCCTACACCGTTCCTTTTTCTGATAACCTCCCTTTACTCTGGGGGAACTCGTCTTCTGATCAGCTCAGGGATGGAATGTGATCCAATCTGGGAAAAACCAAAGTTCTTCCCTACAACTTTATATAATTCGCTGCCATGCTTTGGTTATGATGATGTAAGGTGAAACTATCAACAGCTGTCATCTACCATTTCATCTCACTGTCTCCCAACCCAAAGACAGCATCCCCGTAGAGAAGTTGCCTAGGTGAGAAAACAAATCCAGGATGAACAAGTCAGAGGCAAGTATGGAAGATGGAATGATGGCTACTTTGGGTGTTTGGACCCAGCCATGTATGGTGTTCCTTGTGTATGGGCTAATAAATTGCCCTTTAGGCTGACTAGTTTGAACTGGGTTTCTATCACTTGCAACAGAGAGACTATTGGTTAATAATCAAAAGTACACGATAGCTACCTGATAAGAAAAACACATTTTAATTCAGTAGTTTATGATTAAATAAAATCAGACTAGGTATCTTTGCTTAAAATTTAATGACTAATATGAAATCGGTAGAACACACTGTATATGTCAACCAAATTAAACAAAATGTATAAAGGAAATTGTAGGCATTATAATTAGGTGTTTAACGTCTTACTCTATATCGTGAAATCAAATCCTACTACTTGCTACTGGGAAACAGACTGGCTCAACTATATTTTGGAATATTAAAAAAAATCTTTGTATTTAAGTTACATAGTTACATTTAAATTATATTTAAGTTATATTTAAATTATAGTGTTAAATTATAGTAACTCTTTAATTTCTATTTATAATATGAACATGTGCGAGCTTTGTTTACTGTAATTTATGGCTATTAATTCCATATGTAATAATTAGAAATTATGAAAGGCCTACCTTCTCTTTGAAATCATTGTTTAAAAAATAAAGAAGGCCAGGTGGAGCTTTTCGCCTTTTAAAATATGAGTCACGAAGAAAATGCAGGATGTTGCACTTAATAAGGGTCAGGCAATTTGTTTATTCATCAGAATTTGTCAAGAATCCAAAATGGAGAGGTTCTCTAAAAAAAGAAATTGGGTCTTATGACTACGAACTTCTAGGGCTCTCAATGAATCAGTCCAATTCACCAATTCACCTCCAAACAGTTGCCACAGTTATTCACTAAAACACGTTTATTGTACATCTTGTGGGAATAAATGTGTATATTAATCAAATGAGCTGATAGTTAAATTTGAGGAAACTCTGCCAGTTAAAATCTTCCCTAAGGAACAGTCTATAATTGAAAAGTCTAACAGAATTCTAGCAACAGCGATGGCAAAGATACATTAGATCATGCAGATTTTATTTTCCTTTTTCCTTCTGGGCAGGGGAAAAGCACAGGATAAATCCTTTGGTTTTTGTTCCAGTTTTCAATTTAAATTATAGAAGGAATGGAACTCAACACTTTTCTTGGAAATGAGACTACATCATAACAGATTTCATTGTTAGGAAATTCCACTCCACCCTGATATTCAGATCATATGTTCTTTTGTGTACTTTATCTCACTTTTCCCCAAAACAATCCTATTCATCTATTCATACTTTTGATTCAATTCATCCTATTTCTTGCCTGTTTCAAGAAGACAAATTTCCCTTCTGAATTAAATATGAATTCCTCGAAATCTCATGTTGTTGTCTCTCCAGTAATATTGTGAACAACATAATTCTACACAAATTGTTTACTATATGACGGAGAAGATTCCTGAAGTTGCTTTAGAAGAATATATATTTTTCAAACTGCAAGGCCTTACTTCCTATGAATTCCATTTCCATTATTACTTTTACACCAAGGGTCTCTGTGGCATTATTGTCTTTGGATACTCTTCTCCAATTTCTACCCCAAGTTATATATACTTGTGTTCTACAAATTTCTCCTAGGCTTATCTTCTCATTATTTCTTTATATTTCTAATCTTTTCAAGTCTCTTTAATTAACGCCTCTGGTTTCCTTTTGATCTAAAACTTATTCCAATTGTAAACTGAAAATGAATTTCACTAATGTCCAATTTTATCTTTGTTTTCTTAACCATTAAGTACACAGATGCAACACAGATGTAATAATCTTTTACTCTTTTATAGTCATGTTGCAATTTCATAACTGAATAAATTTCAATAAAACTAGAAAAATTTAGTTCCAATGTGAGATTATAATGTATACAGAGCGGCCATAAGTTATAAGTTAAGCCAGGTATATACATAAATACACATATACATTCTGACAACACTGAAGAGTTCCAAGTGCTTTTTCTTCAGTGATTGCTAAATGTTTCAAAACACAGCATAAAAATGGTCATCACAACATCCCTGCGTGGCAATGACAAGAATGGAGTGGAAATGGGATGAAAGGCACACAATTCATAATAAGACACAGTTACTATGTGAACAAGTATAGCCAAATTTGTGAGCACTTATGATTCAAACTACAACGTGGAGTCACTGATTTTCTGAACTGAATATAAGAAATAGTAGTTAGTAGTATTTATCCAGCTTTACGCAGGACAACGTACTAGGAGCTACCCACGTATAAAAGACCCATTCAGTCATCTCAAGAGGGTAAGTTACATATAAATCCCAAAGACAAGCATGGATGACTGATAGCTAGATGGTGTGTCCCATGGCCTTTCTGTTTAGAGAGGTTTCACTAAAGACAATGACAACTTTGCAGTGGATACAGGTGATCCTTAAGTTTGGTCTTACATCAAACTAACAAATAGAAAAGATTTCAGTCTATAGAATTCAGCGTATTAAAAGCCAGGGCCTAATTAAAATAAGCCCTATGCCAATTAGGTGCAAAAAAAGGTTTGGGTTGTTAATAGGAATATAGGCCTTGCAAGTCAACGTGAGAGGCTAGAAAATACATTTTTTTAAAAAAAAATTTAGATTGTTTAATTACTTTTCAGAGAAACAAAAATTCCAGCCATCCACTGACAATACCCCAATCATCCAACAGCTAGCTAGTCAATGCACAGTCCTCTGCAATTGTCCAGGAATTTTCTTCCTCTAGAAGAAGTGCTCAGTTTTCACTGCCAATGTTCTTGGTAGATTCACTTTTCCCTAAAAAAAAAAAAAAAAAGTAAACACACAGTCAAATGTTTATACTGTTTCTGTTTAGCTTGTTCTGTTTTTCCCTCTTCTCTCCTCCCTTCTGATGCATACCAACAGCACCGCTCACAGGGATAGACAAACCATGTTATGTCCCGGGCAGCCGGGATATACGATTCTGGCCACAATAAATAGAGAAATGATGTCTGAAAGTGGCAATTATATTTTGTGAGGTAACATCCTTCCTGACTCTGTGGAAGACTTGGGAATGGTCACTTCACAGTGTGGTTATGATTCCATACTCGCACCGCTGAAAAGATCCCTATTATCACATAGGCTAGCCAAGTGTGGTTGGAATAAAATTTTCCATGATTTTTTTTAAACTTAAAATTGAGGGCCAGTATGCATTGAGAGAATGTGGGCTGATAGAAGGCTAGCTAATCGTCATCTCTTTCCTTTCATGGGAAAGAAGATTCAGAGCAGAAATGAAGTTTCTTTAAAGGAGTTGTCTTGAGTAAAGCAAGTTAAGTCTATGCTTACTCACTAATCTGAGAGTTCCTTGAAGACACTGGACCTTTCCTCCCTGTATCTATACCACCAGTGTAGCGCACGCTAAATCCATATAAATACAAGTCACTCTACCTTTTAGTTTTTTTTTTAATCTATAAAATAGGAATCAGAGTGACTACTCTATTTATTTCATTGTATAGCATAGCTAAAAGGAAGTAATATATGAAAACACTATGAAAATTAAGGTTAAAATACAGATTACTTTGCTTTAGGTTTATAGCCATTTATCTCCATTGTGTAGATAAGAAAAATAAAGCTCAGAGAGGCAAACTGAGTGTTAATAAAGGCTAGTGCTAGAACCATAAATCTGGATCTTGCCTCATATTCCAATTGCCAAGTTCCTTGGGGTTTGCCAATGGTATCTTAAGATTTAAGATTGACTGCTGGGAGCAATCAAACTGGTGTTCACTGAGTTCCTTTTATGAGTAAGGCCTTGAAATAGCTTTCATTCAAGATATGTCCCAATCCTTGTGGAATTTTATACACCCTAGCAGAGTCCTTCAAGCATCTCCATGATATTTCAAGTTAGTTGTTTTTTCCTGTTTTTTTTTTTTTGTTTTGCTTTTCTCTGCATTTTATGCAAACTCTAATATGGTACCTATTGCACTGTAAAGTTTACACTGTGTTCCTGTGCCTGAGATCTATCCCCATAGCCCAGGCCCTACCTCACACATACACTAAAAGTGAAAGCAAGAACAAGAGGAGGAAGGAGGGATGAGGGAAAGAACAGAGGGAGGGAGAATGGATGAAATGAATGAAAAGATTCATTGGCTCCAAAACATGAGTAGTTGCTAAGCCAGGTATTTTCACTAATTCCAGTAATCGATTTTAGGTTAGATTCCTTCTCAAAGGTAGAGACGTTTTCTAATTTTGAGCTATCTTGGACCAACAGAAATATATTTTGCTGGTATTTTTAAATATACAGGGCTTTGTACTATTTGGCATTGCAGCTGGGGAAGACTTTTCCATTTCTTTGCTTATTAAAGTTGCCCAGTTTTCTTTTAGTAGAGTTCCATTCTTTTTTTCCTAGACTGAAATGCAGCATGTTCTTACCGAGTCATCTAATCTACTAGCTAATTTTGGCAAACAAGGACCTGTGAAGCTAGTAACACCATTCTGGGCACTTCGCACTGGATTGATACAAGATGGGTGATCGGTACTCTACATTTCCAATTTAAGGTAGTGGGATACCTTAACTTTTAACCTTTTATAATCAATCTTTTTCATTCCTTAAAAGGAATGCAAGCCAACAAACAAAACTTGCTTATTGCCCATCAATACAGGTACGCTTTTGAAAAACAAAATTATGGCAATCTACTATCACAGCAAACATTGTAACAACCATCGACTGTGAAAACTACTGAATCTCAGCCCAGAAACACATTTTCCCCAAACTAGAAGAGAGACACTTTGTGCTGTGAACTCAAGATTAAAATCCAACTTTTTGGCTCCAGAGAGAGAAAGAATGTCAAGGCTTTCCAAAGAAAATGCCCTGTTCTTATATAATCCCCCTCTTGCATTAAGGGACCACCCTGCAGAAAATCCAGTGCTGTGAGAAGGTACAGAAAAACAGACACCTTGAAGTGCTTACACAAAGAAATGCATGTCCAGGAAGACCTGGCATTATTTTTAGAGTATGTGTATTTATGATGTGACAACACTAGTATGGTCCTTAAAATCTTCTCAGATCCTCTTTAATTCTTTGCTATAGCAGCTCTAAATGATCCTCTGTACTGAAAGCACAAGTCACTTGTGCTTCCCATAAATAAGTCCAACATTATATATCCACCAAAAAATAGCAAATTTTACTTAATATGGTTCCAAATACACTACAAAAGTAGCCTTTTCTTTTTGCTTCGTTACAGGAAGCCTTACTTCAATGTGCATTCCTAAACAAAGTAAAAGAGGAGCTGTGTGTGCTATGTTTATTTACACAGACAATGTTTGCCCTGGCCAGTAACCCATATTACTAAACAACTTTCCCTGAAACCAACATTTAGAGAGAGAGCTATGTGAATTATATTAAGGAAAAAGTAAGGTTTTACAAAGCTTTAAAAACCGTGAAACTGGTCTTTTAAAACTAAAATTTCTAATTTGAGAAAATAAAATGGGATATTCTCAAATTGTGAACAATATAAAGTCAAGAATTAACCTCAAGATTTAGGAACCCATATTTGCTTATTAGAAATTTCATGCTTGCTAATTAAAAATCTAGTTTCAAATTGTGCTCTGACAATATTTTAGCCACTTGGGCAAAAACTTTTCTATTAACTTTCACCAAGAAAGAAAGCTATTACATGTACAGAGAACACCTTACAACAAATGTTACTGCCTGTTACAGTCTATAATGCTGGCATAACAACACATGAACCATATATTTCAAATAATATTATCTTAAAAAATAGAATTCAATCCAATCCAAGGATTTTATGATCCTCTGGAATTTGTTACAATGAAATTTGGCTTGTACCCATAATTCTTAGCTGAAAGCGGTATCTAATGGTTTTGAATTAAGATAACCCCTCTCTCTCCCTTTTTAAAAGTAATTTCTGGATTTTATTCATCCTCTAGAATCTGCATTCAGAAACACAATTAGCTTACTTTCATTGGTAGTTGAAAATATGGATAAGTCATTCTATAAACTAAATTTTTACATACACTTCTTCCAGTTCTAATACTTCCTCCCAACTCTCTCAACAAAAAGGGAAAAATATTAACTTATAAGGAATCACTAAAATGTCAAGGAATACAGCCAAGGAAACAAAATCAAAGAAATAAAAATAGTGGGTTTAAAAATAAAAGGAGATAAAAGGTCCAGGCAATAGCACTTGATCCTTACGGCACATTATTCTAAATATAGTCCAAATTTTAAACATAATGTTCCTTGCAACATTTCCCTTTCTATAAGGTAAGATACTAAAAATGTTTTGTAATCCCTCATTTTAAGATTCTCTAAAGAAAGAGTTTTAACTAGGGAGTAAATTTATCTGATTACAAGAGACTGTTAATTAAAGACTATTAGCTTAAAAGAAGATAAAAACATACAGAACTCCAATAATGCAGAGAATGTCCTTTTACAGACAGATATTCAAACCGATTCATTCATTTTAAATTGATAGTATAAGCTTACATGCTCTCAAACCGGACAGAAGCAGCAGTTCATTCATTTGGTTGTTTACAGTATTAACTGTAGCTACAGAGTATATTCAGTTAAGTGTGCAAATACAGTGGGAAAACATGTATAAAAAAAATACAGTCATAATTGCTTCAGTTTCACTAGAGTTATTCTGAGCATTACAGGAACAAATTTACACTTACCTTGGTGAAGAACTTTCATGTCATTACCAGATTCTTTTAAAACCACATGTAATGTTGGGTACTCAATGATCACTTTGTTCCTCAAATTGTCAAGGAGACTTTTGTGAAGATCCAGTTCATAATATCTTATAATAAAAAAATCAAAACAAAAATAAACACATTCTTAATATTAAAAATTACTCATAAATGAGTTCTACACATTAAAATATTTTTAAACAAATGATATCAATTCAGTAGCTATATCCTTATAACATAGTAAGTTTAATACCTCTAAAAAAAAACAGGTTAAAAAAGCTATTATTATAGAGGTTCTAAAACTAAATCAAAAGCATATCAAATAATTTGACCTTGGGGAAGCTCTAGAATAAGTCATTCATTTCACATCGAGTAAAGAATAAAGACTTTTACATAATATCTAATGTTTAATGTATCATAAAATTTTTAGATAAAATGATAACTACCTAAAATTCGAATTCCTCAAATATACTTAGTTTGAGCCTTAAAAGAGAAACAAACATTATCTCATGATAAATAATTTCTAGTAACATAGGGCAGTAGAATAACTGGCTACAAAAATACTTTTGTAAAAAGTTTATTCTAATTATAGTTTCCAGAAATTTATATTGACATACAATTATATCTGGCTTTCCTTTATTTTGAAATTTTAAAAACTAGGTTTGGGTTTCTGAATGAGGCAAAAGCACATAATTTAAGAAATATGGAGTTATCAATTATGATATCATAACATAATTGTCACTTGTGTCACAGGTAATTAGATGCTTATATTCCTTAAGGTGTGAAATTCTCAAGTCATTACTTAAAAAAAAAAAAAAAAAAAAACCGAGTTGATTAAAAATGCATTGCCCTTTGCTTGCTTTCTAGAGTAGGAGAGAAAGGGATGGAATTTCACCTAGCTCACTAGGAGTTGCATATGGGAATATGTTGGCATGTGAATATCATATCATGTTAAGGAGGGAAAAGTAGAGAATATGTCCACCAGTGTAGCTCAGAAATTCTCCAACTTTTCTTCTCCATCTCTACCAATGATAGATGATAATTCACATGCACAACACACATCCCAGGGGAAACCCAGCCTGACAGCTGTAACTCCATCCTTTTCTCTCCTGCTCAAAAACAAACAAACGAACAAAACAAAACAACACTTCCCCCGCCCCCACCACTGGAATATAAGTGACCAAGGATGACGTTATCACTGGGACACATGTGAATCTTCTGTAATTTTGTTTTAAGAGTAAATCATTCACAAACTTTGATATTTCTTAATCAGTAACAAATTATTTGCTCTAAACTCACAGCTGACTGAGACATGTAGCACACTTACTAAGAACTGGTGTGGTGATTTCTTTGTGTTCTCAGTTTGTCTCACGTATAGTTGTGAAATAAGGGAAAACAGAAGTGCCTAACAAAACGTAAACTCAAGCCCACTGTATAAACCGATTTCTTTTTAAGAAGTAGGTAACAAGTGAGAGAAAAACTGCAAAACCAAAACTACTTATGTTTGCTTAAACACAGACCCCACCCACCCCTGGAATTTCTTCATTTCAGAATCACAGAATACTTTTTATGTTAAAAAGAAACCTGAAATGCAAAATACTCAGTCTTCCTAAACCAGCCACCCTAGTGCCCATAGGCCACAAAACGTATACATTCTTTTCCCTGTGTAATGTAACACAGATGTGCTTACAATACTTTAAAAGTGGTTCCAGCATTCAAGGATTAAGTGCTTCACATCTTTTAAACATTATTTCTCTTTGAAATAAGCAGTATTTTTTTTTTAAAGAAAGCAGTAATTATACAAAAGAGAAAAATGAGATTGAATTTGATATCAAAGTATAAGATTAAATTATAAAGTGAAATATAAAATGGATGTAATTAAATTTTTCTTAAGAAAAAACAAGACTTGAATTCTCAAATAGGGACTTTTCAAATGGTATCCTACAAATGGTGTCCTACTTGTAGTACCGTATCTTCTGTGCATTTAAATTGAATCATAAGGCTTCTATAAAGAGAAATTTCTCAAATAAGTGAATGTTTCCCACTTAGCTCAGTTTTTGGTAATTTTCAATGTACAGTTAATTTTTTAGGTATTTTATTTATTTTTATAATATTAAATCTATGTTAGGTTTCTCTAGATTTCCAAAGCTGGAGCAATTAAAAAAAAAATCTTCAAAAGCCACATAGTAACCAGAACCTAATATATTATTACTGCTGATACAGTATAAAATATGTTCCCAGCAGAGGAACATTTAGAGATATTTAAAAATTACCATGTCATAAGTTATATATTATTTTAATCTTAAAACTATAATGATTACATTTGCCAAATTAAAAGAAAAAAAAAAAAATCCGGTCCCTATTTTATGTGCTGAGCAGGCTCTGCACAAAGCACTTATGATGCAAATTTTATAAGAATTTATAATGATTATTTTTAAAACCTTTTATTTAAATGCAATTAAAATCTGGTATGCTGTGTGGTTTTGATTAGGACCACTGAATTTTATTTAACATTTACTCGAAAATGTTGCAAACGTCTAATTACTATAATATTGCATCGAGTGTCAGTAAATTTCTAAGCCTCAGCTTTCCAATCTGTTAATCAGAGAAGTCAGACTTCACTAGATAATCTTCTGGCTGAAATTCTGAATCTTTGATTTTTGTACTACTAGCGGTTACTCTTAATCTACTACTATTTGCTGGTGATTAAAAAAAGTAGATTATGTAAACTGTTTATAAAGGAAGGCTATCAAACACATGTGGGATAACATTCTGTGAACTTAAGAGTTTAATTAAATAAAGCAGTAACTTTTGTTGCTTGTGTTTGGAGTCCAACTCTCAGAGAGTTAAAAGTGGCGGCTCCATCACTTACTGGTCTGTGATTCTGAACAAGTTAGTTAACTTCTCTAATCCCTAGTTTCCATGCTTGAAAATTGATACTGGAGACAATGACAGTATCACTTCAGAGCACAGAAACTGTTAGCTCATTTACTTAAGCCATGAACACAGTTTTACATTTGTATTTACCTAAAGTAACAACACATTCTTATAGAAACTTTAGCTGTGGACAAATTTCTTCAGTAACAAAGAATGGCACTTATTATGTAAGCACTGAAACACATATTTTCCTTTTTACACATTTACATTATAAAAATGTAGGCTTGCAATTTTCAGTACAACCTTAAAGTCACTATTTGGTATCACATTTATTTCTAAGAGACTAACGGTACTTTGTTTCTGTTTCCATTATTTTGAGGCAAGTTGTACAGTCCAGCTTGGCACTGCCTAAAGCATTTAGACTCTAGCTCCTTTGAAAGCCATTAAGTCGCTGAATCCTAAGAGACAGCCGTATCTTATTTTTTTTTTTTTTGAAATTTACACGAACTCTGGTGTTCCCATTAGTAGAATGGCTCTGCTACCATAAGACAAACTACTTAAGTCTACAAGAATTAAGACACCAACATTTGTCTCTTCTTTCACCCTTAGGGACCCTCTCAGACATTTCCTCTTGTTATTTCACTTGCTTACCCTCACAACCTTGCTAGATGACCCTGATCCAGGCAGCTTCACAGGGGCATTAGAAGGACAGCATGGCTCAGTAGGCTAAACAGGTGTTACAGGGATTGACATTATATAAATAAAAGTTGTCTTGATACTCAAGGGTATGCTTTTAATCTTGGCTCTGTTACTAACTTTCAAAGAAACTGGCCTTGTTCTTGAACTTCTTTCTTTGCATTTTATTAGGAAATTAGGATTTTCAAAAAACTCCTCATAACTCAAAGGAGACAAGAGAATTAAAAAGAGTCACAAGCCACTTTATTTCTCATGTGACCACTGACACCCCTTAGAGTTTATCTCTCCATCCCCTAAAAAACACTGAAACTAAATCTGAATATTCTCCAAATTTAAAAATACAATAGCAGTCCCTTGGTTACAGAATTTTTCTACCATAAAATAAGGTCATTGGATAAGGTGTTTACCTAGACTCCTTCAGCTCTAAAATTCTCCAAGTGTTGATATTTATCTGCTAAAGGTAGCACTTAACTATACTCTTAATAGTCATATTTCTCAACCTAGGTTTCTGGGTTAAAAGTGCAACTAACTGATTCCAAATGTATAAAGTGTATCTTTGGCTGTTTTAAAAAATTAACCTTAATATAAATTGGTTTATGGTTATCTGATAGCTTCGAGTTTTTAAAATATGGCTCATCCTTCCATAACTGAATTCAGTAAGGTTCCTGAATCAATTACAAACTAAATGCTTTAGATTCACACTTATCGAAATCCTTTAAAATAACACAAACTTAAAAGTACTAAAATTATCTTAAGAGTAGAAAGAGAATGGATTAAGAGAACAAACTAACTTTCAAAATCCAAATGAAAAGCAAGAAACCAGGTTGTTAATGAAGGCCCAGAACAGGAGGAAAAAAGATAAACTCAGACTAAAATATGTAAAACCAAACTAAGTACAGGGGTCAGACAATTTTAAAATTTCTCCAAATAACACTCCTATGTGTACAATTTTCGCAACTCATACTGCCCAAGTCATATTACAAACAGATCTTGTCAAAGTTAAATTTCTTATCTAATCTCTTTTAGTTTTCATATTTAAACTGTAACTCATTCCATTGAGTTACAGTTTGCTGCACTTTGTTTTGGGACGTTAATGTATCCATGTAGATGAGGGCTACAGATGCTTGACATGGGGCATCAGTCATGAGTTGGTTAGTGCAGACATATGCCCCCATTCAGAAAGCTCAACAGTTCAGAACTGCACTGAATGATCCTACTCTATCCATTATATAAAAGCTTTGGGATGTGGTAAAATAAAGTGACCAATTATACATTTTAAAACATGCCTTAAAGAGGGCCTTATAAGGCTCTTATTTGTTCTAGATGCCATTTATTAGGTCTTTTCTTATCCTCACTAGTAAGCTCAATTACTTTTAAATTCAGAAAGCTTGGGTTCCAATCTTATCACTGGTCCTTATGAGCTGTGACTCCTAAAGGGTACTCAGTTTTCTTCATCAGTATAATGATGGAAAGGATAACTATCCATCAACTAGCTTGTAAAGATTAAATGTAATAGGTGAAAATGTTTCTAGAGTGT